AAGAAACAAAGATTTCATTAAAAAAAACCAAAATTATAAAGGACATATCATAGTTGGACAAGACATCAAGACATCCAAAAACTAAGATATGAAAACATAAAAAAGAAAAAAACCCATGCATGAGCAAGCACTACATTCCAGACGTTGCAGTCCAACTCGAAATAATATAAGAAAGAGAAATATCTTCAAACTCTTTAGCCACGGAGGCCCAAAAGGAAGCCAAAAAGTCAAGTCGTTCCATAGTTCTTCAACCTATTCATATTTATATATTGTTTAGCACATTGATAGTCATTGGGAAAAATTATCATATTAGGCTAGTGAGCTTATCCCAATCTTATATTTTTTAGAAGTAGGATTGAACCGAAGGAGTAAGTTGAGGAGGCTGCAATTAGAAGTTTAATACTATCTATTCAGTTCCAGGCTATGTTAATTTTCATTATGTTATGGTACTCTTAGGAATGTAACTTTGTTTTAGGCAAGGATCAAAATTTCGTTTCGGTGCATTGTTTCGGTCGCCCCAGAAACGGAAACATTTCGATGTGTTTCGGAAACGTTTCGACCCGTTTCGGAAACAAAATGAAAAAAATAAAAATTTAAGACTTATTTTTTTAAAATATTGGTTAAGATATACCAAAATATCTTCAAAATACCTTGAAACATTCTGAAATAATTGTGCAAATGTATTGAAATATAATAACATTTCAAAACATTATGGAACACCTCGAAGAATTAGAATTTCGATTTCATCACTGATTCGTTTTGGTCCCCTTGGAAACGGAAACGTTTCGGACGTTTCGACCATTTCGAAACGATATTTTGATCATTGGTTCTAGGTATTTTTGAATTATGATTTAATGTTATAAAAAATAATTATTATGTGTTACAGATAGTTTACTCGTTACTCACAACAAATTATTATAAAATAGAATCGGGACGTGACAGTATATATTCTACCCAAGTTTATGTTGAATGTAGAATATTCGTTGGCACCATAAATCCTAAACATAGTTCGAATTGGATTTTAATCGTTAGGGCTTTTGGTAGGTTCTCCATTCTCTTTATGAATTCTAGTTGTGGCATCCTCTGGCTGTACTGAATTCTACTTTCTTGGGGCTCAAAACATTATTTAAATCTTTAATGAGGAGATTGATTGTAAAGCAAATACCTAGTGGATTATTGATACAATTTTCCTATACTTGATCTTCTCTGTCATGTTGATATCATACCTGCTTAATTTGGTCTTCACGGGGTATATATATTTGCCTTCTATGGATGGTTCGAGGGTTTGCCCCCTTGGCAAGTTTTGTTTTGGATCACATTTTTTGAGGATGAAATGAAGCTGCATTTTGTGCCTGAGTCATTTATTGGACACAATGTAGGGAGGATTTTTCTCATTCTTATGAAGTATGTTTTGTCTTTTGAAAGGAACCACTAGCCTTTGAGGGTTTTAGTTGTGATTATAATCATACGTAAGTCTATTTGCCCAAAGATAAAGGCCAAAAGTCTATGACTTGTTGTACATCTGATCTTTACTTCCTATGTATTAGGGACAAGGATCAAAATTTCGTTTCGAAGTACCGTTTCGGTCAACTCAAAAATAGAAACGTTTCGGAAACATTTCGGAAACGCAATGGAAACGCAGAAAAAATATGGAAACGCATAGAAACACAAATGCAATCCATTAATTTATAAAGATATGCTAAATAATTTATTAATTCAACATATTTATTAGGTTAACATCAATTTATACAAGAATAAATTTAAATTTGAGGGAAAAAAAGGCTTGACTTGAGGCGAAAGTCACTTAAATTAGTTTCAAACACTTAATTTTTATGAAATAAACACATTTTTACATAATATTAACGTCTTATAATACACATGAAATGCTAATGAGTACATACTTACATGATTACATCCATTCCCCTGTGGAGTGTCGAGCAGGCTCATACATCGGTGTAGGCTCTGGGTGGCTACTTAGAGAAACTCCATATGTGACATAAATATGATGACAATAGTTACTCCAAATCATATTATTACGGTAATATAATCCAATTAATAATACTATTTTATTATAATACTAATAATGAAGGGTATCAAATTAAATTAATGATACTTATGTATACTTAAAAATTAAATGTAATTGCAGTGGGTATTAAATGTAATTACAGTAGGTATTAAATATAATTACATGAGGGTATTAAATGTAATTGTTAATACTTATAACAAAAAAAAAGCAAAAAACTTGCACAGCAGTGAGGTATTAAATATAATTACAGTATGTATTAAATATAATTATAATGGGTATTAAATATAATTATAGTAGGGTATTAAGTGTAATTATTTATTCTTATAACAAAAAAATTATAAAAGACAGAAGAGCAGTGAGAATTAAATGTAATTATAGTGGGATATTAAATATAATTATAGTGAGTATTAAATGTAATTACAGTGGGTATTAAATGTAATTATAATGGGGTATTAAATATAATTATTCATAATGAACCGAATATATCACTGTTTTGTCGAAACGGTTCGAAACAATGCCGTTTCGACCGAAACGGTCCGAAACAGTACCGTTTCGACCGAAACACTGGAATTTTGTGATTCAACTACTGTTTCGTTTCGGAGTGTTGAAATTCCGAAACGTTTCGGACGTTTCGGACGTGTCGACACGACATTTTGATCCTTGATTAGGGACATCCCAGGCATACGTCCACAAGATGGATTTATTAAAAAGAAAGATAAAAAAAGTAGCAGGGAATAGGCGTTTGCCTGTTCAACATTACCTTGAAGAGGTTACATTTTCTTACAATCAGGAATAATTTATTATTTCAGAGTTAGTTGTAATCAATTTGCAAACCGATTATTTGGGGCATAGGAATGGTAACAAGTTGCCTACTAATTGTTCGACTGGAAGGAATAATGGTGGCTTTGTCATGCTGCTGTTCCTTGTGGTAGTTTGTGGTCTATGAGCGCATTGGTTAGTTCCAATAATTGTTGTGTACACAATTTCACTCTGTATAAGTACATAGAGATTTCTGAGCTCATTCTCTTGTGATGGAGTTGAAGCAGTATTTGCATGCTGAAGTGATTAGAAAAGGATTGATTCTCTACCAATAGACCCATCAATTATTTATGGTTCTTGATAAATGTTTCTGTTTGAGTTTGAGTTTCTAATTTTGGCCACAAATTTGTTATGCGTGAATTTCATTTCTGTTACAGTGTGAGGAAGTTTGCCGCCTAGCACTGAAGAGGCGCTACCGCCTTATTCCACACATATACACTCTATTCTATTTGGCACATACAAGGGGCACTCCAGTGGCAACTCCTACATTTTTTGCTGGTGTGTTCTGATGCCTCTAAAATTATTTGTTTCCAATATGCTGGACATAAAATTTTGTTTTTACTTTGAAAGGGGCTTAAAGTTTTAAAATTGCTTGTGTAGATCCAGAAGATCCCAGCTTAAGAGCACATGAGACTTCCTTTATGTTGGGCCCACTTCTCATACATTCAAGGTTTTCACTTTCTTCCTTTGGAGATGATGTACTAGGTGATTGTAGGACTTCAAATGTAGATATATTACTTCATTTCCCTGCTTCAATGCTATGTGGGGTTCCCATGTTTCTCTATGCTTGGATTACACCTCTTAAGCCTATGGCCTTTTGTTCAAGTCTTAGAGGAGGATTGCGTTGTTGAGTTTGAATCAAGAAAATTTTCACCAAGTGAGCTGGTGAGAGCAGAGGAGCTTTGCTTAAATGATCTCTGCAGTCTATGCCTGGCATGGCCAAATTATGATTCTTATTCAAATGTTCATCTATAATATTTTAAATTTTTAATCCTTATAACCTTCTCTGCATATAACCAAAGCAAAGATTTTGAGTTGTAATATCACTAGTGCTACCTTACTTGGAACTAAACCAATGGTATCAGATTTTGTAGACTTTTCACAGTACTGGTCTGGCTTGCAATGTGCCTCTCAGTTTTGGCAAATTTTTTTTTCAGATTTTAAAATCAAGCCACTCCGAGCTTGAAAATTATATAATTGTTCAGTAGAGATAATTTTCTGTCCTCCAAACTCTTCGTTCAGTGAACGAGAACTTTAGACATACACATTGTCAAGCCAAGCCCTAAATGCTGCAGATATGCCGAGCCCTGCCATACTGGATTCTCATCTTCTTGTGGCTCGTCTTGGCTTGTTGGAGCCCAAGTCACAGATAAGGGCTCAAGGATTGATTACATGTCTAAAATTTCATTTCTTTTATTATATCTTTCTAAGCCACAGGTTAAGAAGATTGGTCTGTAATAGCCCTTTCTACATGCACTTCTCGTGTTTGTGTTTTTATGCAAATATTCATCTCCTTTTATGTAAGAAAATGTTTAGTATTTTTTGCAACGTGATTGGGTACTATTTTGGATCACTCTCCAATACGTTGCATCACAACATGATAGAAATCTAATGGTTGCAACTTGTAGTATATATTTTGATGGTTGCTTTCCAGGGAGTAGGTTGCACTGTCCACATCAATGCACATGGTATTTACCCTAACATAATGACATCACTAATTAACATGTTATATGCAACAATGGCTTTTTAAATTTATATTTTCTGTTGAGAGATCTTTTGTTTATCGACTATCATAGGTACATTTCATGACTAGATTATTGCCTAATCATTTAGTTGTGGAACTTTTTGACATTTGCTTTTCAAAATCTAGTTCAGCAAGCCTATCTTTTGCCTACATCTTCAGGAGTGCATGAGACAGTGATATGTGGAATGAGTAACATGGTCCTGTTGATGTTGTTTGTAGGCATCAGTAACTTTAATGTGCGATAGAAACAAATATTGGTGCTTTTGTGGTCATCCATCTTTCTTTCTTTTTTTCCCCAAGTATTTATCTCAAGTAATTTTATCTACTTTTCATTCTGAGAGGTGGGGCTTGTAGATGCTGCTTTAATTTGTATTATTTGCACTAACATCCATTCTGATGTTCTACAGCACTATGCGTGATCAGGAGCTGCACCAATTGCAGCACACATTGCCTAAAGGCATTTGGATGAGTTTTGATTTTGATGATTTACATCCGGTATTTCATCCTGAACACTCAGACCAGATTCTAAAGAGCCTCTCTTCTGTCTGGAATTGGATTCTGGCATTGTTGGTAATCTGTAAACTTAGTTTCATTTTTCCCACTTTCTGTATTGATCAGGATTTGCCAGTGCTATATCTGCGAGGTGGATCAATTATTCCTTTGGGTCTTCCGTACCAACATGTTGGTGAAGCAAATCTGACAGACGATTTATCACTGCTTGTGGCTTTGGATGAACATGGTAATTTACTCTTGTCAATCCATCAAAGTCATCTTGGAATGCACTTCATAGGAAGTTTTCGTTGGAATTAGCTTTGATTAGGTCAGGTTCCTATATCTGTCTTGCTTATAAGTCCACAGGAGAAATTATTGTGTTCTTTTCAATGGTTTAAGTCTTTTAAGATGCTTACCTCCCCTTCCCCCCCCCCCTCTCTCTCTCTCTCTCTGTCTATGAATATATTCATTTGGATGCTCAAGAATTTGGTGGAGTCTGGACCTTCAATGTTATACTATTGTGGAAAAATAATTCTATGTTAAAGCATTCTAGAAGATTAGACTTAAAGCTTCCCACCTTGTCATTTCTTTCATGTACTTCCAATATTTGTCTGTTAGAAGAAACGTTCTTTGTGTTTGTAATTGCTAATTCAACTTAAGTCTCTTTTGGTTATTTTGTAGCTTTGTCTGCTATTCCTTTTTGCTGTGTCATTCTCTGTTCTTCCTCCTTCATTCAGTGTAATGCAACCTTGTAGGTGACTAAGGTCCAGGAATATAGTACTTCTAATAAAAGTGGATTCCAGTTCATCTCCCAGAGAATTAGGCATTCACAGTATAAGAAGCTCTAAAGAAGCGAAAATAGAGAAAACTCTAGGATTTTTTATGTTTGAACCATTGTTGTCAGAATTAACTTAAACCCTGACGACCCACGATTTGAGTACATTGATCTGAAACAAGGTGGATTCGCGACCCTGATCACCAAAATGTATGACCTCAAATTGTAATATTAACCCTAGATCGATTTGCTTTGGAACATGTAGCGTAAATATAAGATACATATTAATAGACTACATATATATAGATTTATAGGGATCTGAACAGCTTCTGTAGGAATCTGATATACTCTTAATATACATGTTTCAGATAAAAACATAGGTATACAATATTGTATAGTGTGGTATCTTTCTGGCTTCTTTAAGGATTTGTCAATCACATTTAATTCGAAGGTGAGATGTTTTGGGTCCTAAACATAAATATCACTGTTTTTGGTTTTTTTCTTCCAACCAGTTCAATCTTGTTGGGTAGATAAACTAACATTTTTTCCGGCCGTATTGGATGTTACGTATTTATAGGAATGCACAACCACCAATAATGGTTATATATATTAGGTTTTCTTTAATTACAGGTAAAGCTGAAGGTGTTCTCTTTGAAGATGATGGTGATGGATACGACTATACTAAAGGTGGATATCTTCTGACAACATATGCTGCTGAACTCCAGCCTTCAGTTGTTACTTTGAGAGTTTCCAAAGTTGAAGGAACATGGAAGAGGCCCAAACGTCGCTTACACATGCAATTATTGCTTGGTAAAGGTGCTGTGGTATGTGTTCTGTCCGCAGAGTACAATGATTTGTCCTATTCAGATTTCTTCCACCAATTAACTGCTTCAACACTGGAATTCCTCTGTTTTATTGTTATATCTATGTGGGTCTCCTTGAACAGCTTGATGCTTGGGGCACTGATGGAGAGGTTCTGCAAATCATGATGCCTTCAGAAAATGAAGTGTCAAGTCTGGTATCTGCAAGTGAGAAGCAGCAAAAGATTCGTTTGGGTACGTTCTGTCTCCTACAAATTATTTGGCTTCCCAATTCTTCTTTCCCTTTCTTTGGAATCCTTTCCATCCCCTCAAGAAATAAGAATATGATGTACATTGACAAGAATCGAAAAAGGATCCCTAAGGGAGATTAGATGCATACAAATTGGTTGAATCTCATAAAGTTTTGGATTTTCTTCAAGCATTAGGGACTGCAAGACAACGTAGTCAGTGTCCTACTTCTGGTTATATACCTATATATATATTTTCCCTATTTTGTGGGATGTTATCTATTTTTTCTAGCATTCATCTTGTGAAAGAACAAGGGAATCTTCATTCTTATTATGTTTACAATGATGTGTCTCAATCAGAAGCCTTGAAATTATTGACAGGTGGAAACAGACTTCTTCTTTAACACGTTTAGTAATATCTTCTTGTCGTGTGTTGTTCACTAATTAGTGAGATGCTAATTGCAGAAAGTGCCAAGCCAATTCCAGATGTGGAAAATGTTTCTGGACACAAGGGAACAGAACTTTCAAAAGCTCCTATTGAAATGAAAAGTGGTGATTGGGTACTTAAACTGGTACCTTGGGTAGGGGGTAGAATTATTTCTATGGAGCACCTTCCTTCAGGTAATGCTTTTGAAAGCCTTCGTGCATCAACTGAGAAAGATCTTGATTATCTGTTTTCCTTCTCTATCAGGCATCTGTCATTTTAGATCACAAATCAGATCCTATTTCTTTTTCTTTTTCTTCATACCTCTCTATTGCATAGTTGGAAATGGGTAAACTTGAGAATGAATAAAATAAACAGAAAGCTACAAACTTGGATTGGTTGACAGCTTGTGATTTTTTCTGTGGGAATATGTTTGTTGCTGCCCCTTGTTTTCTCTTCTACCATATTTTTCTAGAAATTGTCGTTTTTGACATAGTAATCTACCAAATCTAATTAGTCTTCTGGTTAGTACCCGTTAACATTGATCAAAGGGAAGAAAAGAGAGAGAGAAGTCAAGAATATTATTAAGACTAGTTCAATCAGTAATACAACCTTTAACAAAGTATACACAATAGAGGCCCTTATATATTAGGGCAACAAAATAATATAAAATGCCTAAACTACCCATAATATACATACTCTTAACATCCCCCCTCAAACTCATGATGTGGTAGCATCAAACATCAAGAGTTTGCCACGAAGGAAACGGAAACGCGCCATGGTGTGAGATTTCATAAAGAAATCTGTCAACTGCCTAGTAGGAGGAAGAAAGGGGAGAGATATCATGCCCAGCTGAAGATGGTGGCGCACAAAGTGATAATCAATCTCAATATGTTTTGTGCACTCATGAAACACCGAGTTATGGGCAATCTGAATGGTACTAGAGTTATCACAATACATAGGAGTAGGAGCAGACAAGGAAATGCCAAGATCAGCAAATAACCAACGCAACCAAATGATCTTTGCTGTTGTGGAGGTCATAGCACGATACTCAGCTTCAGAAGGGGATTGAGCTGCAACAGTTTGTTTTTTTCTTTTTCACGAAATAAGAGAATCACTAAGAAAAAGATAGAAACCACTAGTGGACTTGCAATCCATAAAGTCACCAGCCCAGTCTGTATCAGAATAAGCGCGAAACTCCAGAAACGATGAGGAAGAAAATAATAAACTCTGATGCAACGTACCCTGCAGATATCGAAGAATCCAAAGAACGCCAGACCAGTGAAGTGTAATAGGAGTAGCAACAAACTGACTAATCACATGTACCGCAGAAGCAATATTTGGACGATTAACAATAAGATACACCAAACTTCCAATAATAGTACGATATAAGGCAGGATCAGGCAGAAGAGAACCATCAGAGGAAGTATAACGAATGTTGAGTTCCAAGGGTGTGTCAACCATTCGCGTATCCGATAAGTAAGTTCGCTGAATAACATCTGAGACATATTTTTACTGAGAAAGAAGATAGCCCTTGGGAGAAGAAGCAACCTCAATCCCTAAGAAATATCGAAGTGGACCTAAATTTTTTATCTCAAAATAATTTTGTAACTGAGTTTTCAATAGCTGAATTTTAGCATTGTCATCACCTGTAATAATCATATCATTCACATAAAGTAATAGAAGAATCTCCTTGGTTATGTTAAACTTAGCCAAATGCACACCAACGGTCTAATCAACTGAGTTGTTAATCCAAGTGATGATTTTAACATTGTTGATCTCCCAGGTATTCTTTACGTCAGTATATTTCTTTGCCTTTGGATCTGTTGGAGCTTGCAAAGCACCACTAACATAACTCCACATCTCTTTCCTTAACAATAAATTTTTCAAAACATAAGACCAATATACATAATTTTCACCATATAATCTGACACTAATAGCCTGAAGAGAATCAGAATGTTCACTTGTCATAATGGTAACAAAAGGGTCGATGCTCACGGCAAAATAATACCAAAAATAAAGCAGAAAACAGTAATAAAAATAAATTTTCAGCAACAATCCAGCAACTCAACAAATCAAGAAACAACCACTTCCCAAATCTAACCACAAAACAACAATCAGATGCACAGTGAAACAAAGCGGTCAAAAATAACTATTACGTAATAGCAGTCATACCCAAAATTTTAAACTCAATACGTAATAGCAGTCGGTGCACTGTGAAGGGAGAAATAGTCCAACCGACACAGAAGAAGAAGGCACCAGCAAATGCTAATTGAAATATTAGTCCAACTGACACACTGGGAGCACAAATCCAACCACAAAACCGAAGAAGAAGGCACCAGTAGAAGCCAAGAACAGAAACAACCCAGAAGGCGATTGTTCTTACTGTGAACAGTAGTCCGACAATCCAAAGTAGCTAAAATCCAACCAAAACTCAACCAAATGCCTTCCAATCACACAACCAGCTAGCTTACACTCTTAATTGCACCCATTAGACCCGATTGGAAGCAAAAAATTTGAGAAAAATAACTCAAAATTACAGATCGAAAAATAGAACCGAAATTTTTGAAAAACATTCAAAATTGAAAAACCCTATCTGATGGCCTCAAAGTCAAAAACGAAACATACCATTGAAAAGCCCATGAAGAATTGAGTATGGTGGTGCTCTCCCGACTCCAGACTAATGACGTTAGCAATGACGTCAGCCCTCGTTCAGAAGAAGTTGAAAGACCTGCTGTGTTCTCCAAATTTTTTTTTAAGTATACTTGGATCGAACAAAACTCTGATACCATATTAACATTGATCAAAGGGAAGAAAAGACAGAGAGAAGTCAAGAATATTATTAAGACTAATCCAATCAGTAACACAACCTTTAACAAAGGATACACAATGTAGGCCCTTATATATTAGGGCAATAAAATAATATAAAATGCCTAAACTACCCATAATATAAATACTCTTTCCAAAATCTCCTCTTAAATTATGGGATTTGCGTGAAGTCCTCTGTAGTATCATTTTGTGGTGATATTGTCTTTTTTTGAATAGCAAACAAACTTCTGATAATGGGCTGGGGATCACTCAGGTGTAATACTAATGGCCTTTCTAAAATTTTGAATTTTCTCTTCACTATATATCTTGTAAAAATGTCTACAAATGAAAAGAAAATTGTAAAGAGATGGGGGAAGGAGTGTGTCCGATATCACTTAAAGATGCAAGCACTCACACCCATAGAAAGAGGAAAAATAAAAACAATGTTCTATTACAATTGTGAAGCCAAATGCATTTGGAGTTATCAAGGAGATCTAAAACACCTTGATAGATAATAGTACTGATTTAACACGAGTCTTCTTTCTTCTCCTTCTGAAGGCTCTAAGGTAGGTATAGGATAGATTTACTGGGATCGTAGATATCCTAGGCATTCATCAATCTAGGATCACACGACTCCAAATGAGGAGGGTTTGTGACCAAGATCACCCAAATTACCAACCCTAACTTGTATCCTTGGCCTCAAATCGACTCACAATCTATATAACCCCAAATTGTTACCAAAACTGGCACTTTATCTCTTTATTTTGATGATTTTAAACATACATTTTGATCTGTTGTGATTGGAATGTTCAAAATACATTCGTTAACTTTTTTATTCATAACCATTAGTCAGTGCATTGTTTTGGATTATGAATTTTTATTACAAACTTTAAGATATGGACATATAATTAACACGTACCGAATAGACTAACGATCTAGGTAACATTGGATGATAGGAAGTGGAGTGAATGGAGGAATGGACTCGATGGTGGGACCATAGATCAGTAGGTACTTGGTAAAAGATGCGAAGAAAGTTAAAATAACCATAAGTGTCACCTGACATAGAAGATCAGTGTAGATATATTTAGTTGAGAGTTGTAGGAAGCATTTTATGATGTTTAACTTCGTTTTATTTAAGTGAAGTGGTCAATTTCCTTTCAAGTTACACATGATAAAATGTTTTTCCATGTGAAGATTAAGCCTTAACAGAAAGTTAACTTCTCATATTTGGGAATATAACGGGGTCCAATGATTAGAAGGCTCACATTCTAATGTAGAATGAACTAGGTGGTAAAATTACTCACTTTCGTGACATGATTTTGTGCATGTTTTATATGGTCTTGGAGGTTCTGAGCGTACTTATGTTGTCGCTGGAAAGTATATCCACTTGAATTTGGGATATGATCCGGCATCTTGATTGTCACTCCCCCACCCTAGATCACATAGGGGGACGGCGGACCGGCCACCAAGGCCTTAACTAATCAACTCTGTGTATAATAAATGTAAAATACAGTAGAAGACAAATAATAAAGTGATCCAATCCATTGACCTAATGAATACCAGATGAATAAACTAAATATCACCAACATCATTATTAAACTCATGTAAAATAATAATTAAACCATGAAGATCACAATTGTGACACTCTATGGAAGAACTATCCTGACGAGAACCCGTGAGTGTAGAATCTCGACCCCTAGCGGTATTACCTCTCAAGTTGGGGGTAAGTGTTACCCCTAGATGTGACAGACCTTGACTGGGTGACGCCTCGAGACTTATCAAATGGATCTGACCTTAATGGTTGAGACTCTCCAGTTTGAGAAGGCATGCAACGATGAAAGGGTGGCCTAAGGTATTTTTCAATCTCTAAGGCTTTATAATATGCTTCCTCAATCATTTCAGGAGAGTGTAAGTTAATCTCTCTCTTAATCTCAAGTCTCAAGCCATTAATGAATTTTATAACTGTTACCTAAGGCTCTTCCTTTATGTTATATCTCATAAAGAGCTCTTCAAATCGAGCTAAGTAATCAGTCACACTCGAGGTCAATTGATGCAAGTTCATCCACTTGTCCAAGAGTTGACGCTTATAGTAACTAGGGAGATATTTATCTCGCAATCTTTGTTTCATCTCAGCCCATAAAGTAATAGGTTGTCCCTCTAAGCACGCTTAGTCTCGTTGGACTCCCTGTCAATATCTCTTAACCAAACCAACGAGTTTCATTTTGACAAAATGAAACTGATGGTCGCCAGACATATCATATCAATCAAAATAGTCATCCATTTCATCCAACCAATCTAAGAAAACAACAGGATTCTTCATGGACATACCTATGTCGAGGATTATGGTAACACGGAGATGGACTCGTGGTCGGAAGGGATCACGTTAACCATCCATATCACCCTCTGCTGAATAGTCAGACATGACTACCTCAGCAGGATCCTCTTGAAAATTTCTACGACCTACATTTCATCCAAAAACGATATTAGGAGGTGGCCTCCTATTTGGACATTGAACTTGGCTCCCCTGAGCTACCTGCGGAGTGGGTAGGACACCTTGACATGAGTCAGTAGGATCTATCGGGAGATGCAGGTGCCTAACATGGTGTGCCTGTCTGAACTTAGGTAAAACTAGTGACTCACTTTGGTCATACTCTATTGATCGTTTTTCAATAAACTTAGTCAATTGGGCTAATTGAGTAGTAACTTGAGAAAGTTGTTGTCCCATTCTTTTAACTTCTTCACGTAACAAGTCGACTGATTGTTTAGTATCGGTCATATCAATGGTGAGGGTCTCACATTTTTGTTCTAGTGCAGTATAGTAATGAGACTCTGAAAGCTCATGAAGGGTCATAGTGAATGTAATGTAAAATTTAAACTAAGTAATAAAAATTATAAATCAATGTAAATGGTCACACATAAGAGCAAGCTTATTGTGAAGAGACTCAAATAAACGTGAGATAAGCAACAATGGATTTAACAAGGAATTGAGCAAGCTAAGTTATGAAGGTGGTGTGTGGAAACAACAAACAAAGAAAGTTATGAAGATGGTGTGTGGGAACAACAAACAAATAAAGTTTAGGTATTTTTTTTTTTTTTGACTTACCAACAAATATAAATACTAGTCACAAATTCTTAACGAAGAGAACTTGTACCTGGTGTTAGATGCAACTCCAAGAGGATACTTGACAAGTTAGAGGATGATCCTACAAATTTTGAAACTTCTTGGGGTGTTTTTGCAATTACTAGAACTTCTGGGGTGATGTTTCTATAATTTTTTGAATCTGCTTGGATGTTTCTGTAATTCTGGAGCTTCTGGATAGTATTTTTGCAATTTGTTGAAACTTATTGGGGTGATTCTGCAATTTTCTAGACCTTCTGGGATGTTTCTGCAATTCTAGAATTTACTGAGGATGCTTTTGTAATACTATATCGATGAACAGTTGTGATGAACAATAACGATGAACAGTCACAATAAACAGTAACAATGAATAGTAATATTTTTTTTTTTTTTTGTGATTTGTACGAATCGAAGTTGAGCTCTAATATCAAATTGATGTAGATCGTATTAGGGATGAGAAAGGGAAGAAGAAAGGATGAGAAAAGATAGAGAATTTAAGAAGGAAACAAAATATTCAATTCCAGTTATTAATAATAATCAAAAATATCCCACAACAAATATGTATCTCTTATATATATATATATGACAATTAAGTCCTAAAATAAATAAATAATCAAAATGACAATTAAGTCCCTGAAAAATAAAATGACAAATAACTCCTAATCCCTATGTTTGTGCTTACTATAACGAAATATAATCCAATTCCTATCAATAACTCAAACTTAAAATCAATCTTATTAAATTCTTTAACCCTCGCAACTGATCAAATAAATCATCAATACCATATAAAAGATATTTACTGCATATTGCTACCTTACTCAACTGGTATTAATCGACGTACATTTCATTATCCCATCATTTTCTTTGCAAAACACAGCATGAGCACCCCACAACAAATTACTAAGTTGAATAAATCTTTGGTCTAATATACTTTCAATTGAATTCCCAATTTCTCTAGTTCAGTGAGAACTATCCAATACGGAGTAATAAATATAAGTAAAGTACCCAGGGCTGCTAAAAATGTAAACTTTATCTCTCCAATGGTACCATAGACAACTCCTCTCAAAATACATTTGAAAATTTTCTTTCTATTGGTATCTCTATTTTCTTCCATGCATCAATAATACTAGGAATATTTCCCTGAAAATCTTTCCTCATCCAATTTTCGAGCTTTCACTCTCAGAGCTAATACTGGGAATTAAATAATTCATGTTCCCTAAAAACTAAATCTGCATGACTTTTTTTTCAAAACAACCAACTGTCTCTTGTTGTGTGACTTACCAACCCATAATTAATATCACATCAAAATCCCTAAGGTATAAAAAACTCAATCATCTAGTAACTGATGCTCCCCAATGTGGACCCTACACCTTGGGTACACGACATCTTTTAACTCAAAACCACCCGTAGGAGTTGCCACGATCAAAATCAAACTCAAGTGTTTTGGGTTCTACACCAATCACACTACTACTCTAGGAGACACGAAAGAATGTATAGATCTGAAAATCTCATTAGTGTCAGTCACATTTCTTACAACACCATTACCATCCCTTTTTGCAACTGTCTCTTGTTTGTACAAAATACCAAGCAAATTAACTAGTCTTAGTCACTATACAAATCATTCTATTAACTATTAACTATTAACATCATTTTGTATCCCTCAAACTAAAACCGATTAAAGCCTACACAACCATTCAGATCCAACCTAATCCTCTGGTAATTCATAAACCTATACTCTAATACCACTCTTGTCACACTCCCACCTCGGATCACATAGGGGTGGTGGACCGGCCACCAAGGCCTTAACCAACCAACTTTGTGCATAATAAATACAAAATATAGTAGAAGACAAATAATAAAGTGATCCAATACACCGACCTAATGAATACCAGAGGAATAAACTAAACATCACCAACATTATTATTAAACTCATATAAAACAATAATTAAACCATAAAGTTCATTACTCTAACCATAAGCAACATTGTTCCCAAAACAATTGAATATTTGTCTCAAAACTATAAAAGACATTTATTCTTGAAGACCTACAATAAAATAAATCTTCAAGTCCTCTAATTCCTTATATATCTGTAAACTTACTCCTCACTCTGATTCTCTTCTGAAAAATGTTAAATATTTGGATGAACACAATGACTCGTGAATAGCAACCATGTCTAATGAGGTGTGAAAATAAATTTCACAGTTTATATAAAAAAAATAAACTTTGATACATATATAAGTACAACAAATTGTAACCCAACCCCTCTCACATAATCCTTAAAAAAATGATCTCATGATCACAAATAACTTTATAAATGAAAAGACATTTATAACCCAAAACACCAATTATTTTCACCAATAACTTTATAAATGAAAAGACATTTATAACCCAAAATACTCACACACATATTCAGTCCCAAATACATTTGTCAAATCATGTTTGTTACCACTAGCCTGGTAACTGACACTGTCTTTTGTTACTACTAGCGTGATAACTAGCCCTGTCTCTTTTTACTACTAGTCTGGTAACTAGCTCCGTCTCTTATCATCACTAGCCTGATGACTTACCCCTATGTACACATCCCTATACCGATATCACCGGTATACAATCTCGTTACCATTTAGACCTGGTAACCCAGTCCCCGTCTCATAAACATAATTTTTACACACACTAAAACTGTAGTTTTAGTCCTAACACATACAAAAAAAAATTTTCATCACCAAAGCAATAATATAAAATCATGGCACAAGTTTTCCAAAATTCACATGTATAACAGTTTACAATTACAAAAACATTTGCTTGCAACCCCAAACATCAATACATATATCATATATATGAAAAATTCACACGCACGCACCCACACATTTAATATAGAAAATCCTCTCAAAATAAGTAGTAAATTACTCACCTTGATTCGCAAAATTCAATTCAAAGCACTCTTTTTCAACCTCAATGCAATCACCACCTAATCCAAAATAACATATAACAATCAATCCTTATTCTTAATTTCGTCTTTTCGCAATTTTATATTTAATTTTTATATTTTCTACCCATTGATATATACTTAATATATCCATTACATATAAATATCCTTTCTAATACAAGGTAAAAGGGTATGAAAGTATTCTGGGTTGTTTAAAAAAAAAGTTTTTAAAAGTTTTGGGGTCAAATCATAATTTTTGAAACTTTTGGGGTTAATGTGTAATTTCTTTGAAAAACGAATTTTCTGTTTTCGGGGATATCATAAATTTTCCAAAATTCTATTCTTCCAACTTATCAAGTAAAATAGTGGTTAAAATTAAGTTTAGAAGAACATAAAGATCAAAGTAAAAATCTTTAAAACTAAAGGGGATGTTTTTATAATTTTAAGAAACCCATCTTCTCCACCACCGATAGTTACAGAACCTGTAACTTTCTTCCTTCTTCTCCTTTGTTTTTTTGTTTTTTTTTGGGCACATTAAATAAATTCTTTAAAAGCTTCAAGATCAACAAATCTAAATTAGGTCTAAAAACTCTTAATTTAACAACTTTCAATAAAAATCATTTTCATATTCATCAATATTCTTCACCATGAATACACACACACACACACATATATGCTTGTATTCATTATGACTATTTATGATAAACCTAATACTATGTAGTTGCATAAATTACAAAAACCATCAAATAAGTAATGAATTCATACCTTCAATGGGTCCAATCTCTTCTTCTTCTTTTTTTCGTTCTTCTTTCTTCCTTGTTCTTCTCTCTCTCTCTCTCTCTGTTGCTGCCTATTCTATTCCTCCCAGCCCAAACAATATTAATAAAATATGAGGCAACCTAGGGTAGCCGTTTAATTACATATAAAGTGTAGCAGTCAACTATTCTTAATAACACTAAAGTCCTTTTAGCATTAAGGAATTAGTGTACAATCAGTTCTACAATTTTAAAACTCTATCCGACTAAGCATCTATAATTATCTGATATTTCCCCCTACACCAAAAAGGATAAATTATCTCCATTGATTTCCAAATCATATCCATAAGCCCATAAAGACAGACCCCAAGTCAAACAAAAGTCTAAAACTTCTCAAATCCAACTTATTCACTTTTATTTTTATTATTATTATTATAATTTCATTTTTTTTAACCTTGGGTATTACATTGATCCCGTGTTTATATTCTATTTGTTGCCATGGCAGGAACTCAATGGCTTCATAGCCGGGTTGAAGTCAATGGGTATGAAGAATATAGTGGAACTGAGTACCGATCTGCTGGATGTACTGAGGAGTATGCTGTCATTGAGTGAGTAAATCATCTTGTAACTGTTTTATGAGGGAAAAAGGGACATTGATTTAATGATATTGATAATTTTATTGGTACATTGAGGACAAATGGTCAAGTTCTGAATAGTGCTTGACGTGGGTCGCGAACAATATGTATATGTATAGCAGGGCATAAAGAGGTAAGAGGCTTATGCCATGTTTCACTTGATGTCGTATGGCACCAAGGGATTTTAACTAATTTGAAGTGGTCCAAATGATTATTATCTTTCACAGAACTTTATTTCTGTTATGGTTGAATTGTGGTAGTTCACTACTAATTGCCCTTAAGCATCTCCTCGAAGTATTTAGTTTAACAATACTTCTACATATCTTTGAATCCAAGAGAAGCGAGGTGGGTAGCATTTATTTTTTTGAAATCTTTCATCAGATGAAAACTTCACCCTATGTTACTTATTTTACACAACCACTTATCTTGTCAGTTGCTTAATGATGCTTTTCATTTTATTGCAAATCTATGCAATGACTAGTTTTTGAGGTCATAAAACTTGTAGATATAGAGATCACAATGCATAGATTTTTCTTTGGCTTCTAGTAAACCAAAAGGATTAGTGCTAGCACTATATTAATAGAGGTATATTATTGTCATTTATGTTTTTGGAATCTTCTTTCTTTACAGGCAGGATCTTGAACAGGCCGGAGAAGTGGAATCCCTTAAGTTAGAAGGTGACATTGGTGGTGGAGTAGTTCTTGCACGGCAGATATATTTTGCAAAAGATGATCCAAAGATATTCCGGATTGACTCGAGCATTCTAGCCCGCAAAGTTGGTGCGGGTTCTGGAGGATTTTCGAGGTTTGAGTCATATTACTTTGGCCTTCGGGCAAAAGTTTTTTTTTTAAATTGACCCTATCTTCAAATGATTTTGTAGGCTTGTTTGCTTGCGAGTGCACCCAATGTTTAGTCTGTTGCATCCAACTGAATCGTATGTATCATTTATCTCCTTAAGCGGATTTAAGCATGAAATTTGGCCAGATTCCAGTGAGCTATTTTATGAAGGTGATCTTCGGCCAAATGGTAAGAGTTATTTTTCTTTCTTCTATATTTATTCTAATGAAAAAGTTGCTATTCTATTTCTTCAATTATAAAAATTATGATATTCTTAACATGAAAAAATAAATTGGATGATCGCTTGGGAAACCAAAAGAATAGCTCACATATAGACAAAATTCATTTAATTTTCATACTCCCTTTGAAGAGGAAAATTAGTAAAATTGGCTGTATGCCATTTATACTTGAAATTCATTTATTTTCGTGTCTTTTTATAGGGTTTAATTAAGATTTGTACTTTTTTATTCGGCTGACATGCAATTCCATGAAATATATCCATTTGTACTCAGACATTCAAGGCTTCCTTCCTTTCTTTCTGCTATTTTGCTAATTACATAGCTATTTTAGTTAGACCATGTTCAGTTTGGAGGGCCAGTGAAGCTAAACAACAAAGAGCTCATCTTATGGGGTCCTAGTAGCCCAAAAGAATTTTTTCCTGAGCATCATCTCGCAGTTGTTTGGTGCATGACCTAGTTTCTTCTGAGACTTGATTGTTGGATATATTCTTGTGAAACCAAGTGCAAGATTCTTGTGCACCTTCTTATGAGATTATGATTGATAAACTCAACCTTAGTTTATACATTTATCTTGATCATTTTTTCCCTAAGGCAATATTTGGAACTGCACCTTGTTTGCACAAGTAATGAATTGTCACTGAACCAGTTCATCAAATGTTTTCCTTTTGAATACTATGTTCAGGTGAATGGATTCTTGTCAATAAATGTCTTGGCTTGGGTTTGGTCAACCGTTTCGACATTAATCAGGTTCACAAGTGTCTCATACACTGGGGAACAGGGACGGTCAATTTAGAGCTTTGGTCTGAGCAAAGGCCTGTTTCGAAGCAGTCACCTCTTAAAATTTCTCACGAATATGAGGTGCGAGCTATCCAGTAGCTTTTTGTTCTCTGCTAGACAAAGAAACTTTATCCAAATAAGGTACAGGTTCTCAACTAGGATTACTACCAGCCAAACGGGACCTAAAATGTAGCGGCACAATTCAGCTGTCACCTGCCCAAGTATGCACTCTCTCCATTGTTATTGTACTTTCGTTTCTGTATCTGCTATACTACATAAAACCTATTGGATTCGAGGAAGCCCTTTTTTTCTACTGGTACTACACTGTTGCTTTACAAAGGAGGCATTCTTGTAGATTTTTCCCCTTTTGTTTACAGTTAGGCAGATGGGTACCAAGAACTAAAGCTCTCTCAACTCTCATAGTGTTCAAAAAATAAAGAATAAATACAAAATCGAAACCTCGGGAGAAAACATGATGACATCCTTAAAAACATCCTAGGGAAGTAATAGGTTTTCAGGGTGGAGTGTATAAATCTGCAACTTGTCCATGTGATCAAGTATGTTTCTTAGGTTTTGCTGTATTCCAATTTTATAAATACATTACTTGTCCATGGTACTCCTTACCTTATGAAAGTTTTGTCTTCTTGAGGTCAAGGGTTCAAATCTTTCCCCCTAGTCCTCTCCCTCCCCCTCCCAAAAAAAAAAAGGTAAGTATTTTAATAAAAAAAAAAGGAATGGGCATGGAATGGTCAAAGAAGACCAGAAATGGGTATTTCCTGGAATTGAACATGCTTGAATCTCTCAATTAAGACCGCATTTCAAAATCTCAAAAAAAATTGTAGTTACATAGAAATTCACTTCTTGCTTTTGGAACATCAGATACAACACGTTAACTCAATATTTGGATAATAAACAAAGAAAGTTACATAGGATAAAATCAAATCCAAACTGATATGGTCACAAACATGTAAATGTATTAGTTATTTTCTTAAGCATATGAGAGTTTTAGTGATATCCTAGTGGAGCAGGATACTCCTTTAGCTCATGTCCTTGACATTGGATGTCCTGCAATTCAAAGATTTAAAACATCAAAACACTAACTTAAAAAACATCAATCTAGCTGCATTTAGGGAAAAAAAAGAACCCAGATTTTCTTACCGATGCAAAGTGGTTAAGGTCCCGGTGATGCGCCTCGTCTGCTCGGATAACCTCAACAACATCCCGGAGAGTTGATTCCTGTGGCAAACGCCAGTAGTCGATGGCGATAGCCGGTGCAGGGATGTTCTCAAAATCTCCCTTGTCCAAATCTCTGAGAAATTCGGTATACGAGTTTACCGCCTCCTCTTCCAAGTACCCAGTGATCCGGTGAGCGAGCTTAGGGGAGGCTAAGTAGGCGAGGAAATAAGTGTTGAAGAACACGCCTTGGACAGCGAATACGAGGGCTCTCTCGTACCATTGAGGCTTGGCTACCTCTATGAAGGTCATGAGGTGCATTCGCTCGTTCTCTGCTTCTTCCAGCAGGGCTTTGATCCAGCCACCGCTGTGTTCAAATCGACGTAAGGACTTGCAGTGCAGAAGCATACCTCCGACCATGCCGGGGACTGCAGCTACTGTTTCTAGCAGCATTGCATGGCACATATGCCTTCTCTGTAAACAAACAATGAATATCATAGTAAGAATTATTTGTTCTTGGTTATTACTATTAAAAAAAAAAGTAATTCAATGTACGAGATTCTGCCATTGTGTTTCGAGTCATTTATGGGAAAGCCCCATCATTTTTCTTAAACTGATAAAACAAATAAGAGGTTATGTTTAAATTTTTGAATTTTATATCCAAGAATTTAATGTGAGTTGCACAACCATGGTTGGAATTAGGGCTGATAATTTAGCTCGAGACTTAATTTATTGAACTAATTTGTTGACATAATTTATTGTGATTTTTGGATTGATTGTGGGGTCCATCAAACATTGAAACTTAGTATTAATTCAATGATTTTATTAAAGTTACATCATTATGTCAACAAATTAAGTTAAATTTTTAGGTCTAAATAGTATTACTCTTAAAAAAAACATGAATACTTCCAGCAGAGATGACAATTTTTAACATCAAATGAAATAGGATGAAAGTCAAAAGGGTTAAAATATCATTTCTCAAGCTTAGGGGACAATGGTGACCTGATCCTAAGGTGGTTTCACTGCTCCTTCCACGTAACAATGGATTTATTGTCTATGTAGTATTATTTATTGTCTTATTTTATCAATAGATTTGAAAAATTCATAAAGAAAGACAGAATGGATAAACAAAAATAATGACAAAAAAATAATAATAAAAAACGAGTAAGAGAGAATTGGAATATTTACCTGGAAAAATAAGTAGGTAGGGTATTTAAGAGCTTGGACAGTCCAGAAAGCAAATTTATCCATAAATGTAACTGGCATGTGGTGTTTTTTAATATCGATTGAGGTGTCTGCTTTGTACGTCTCCCATGGCTGTGTCAAGTTGTAAATCAAAGAACTAATTAAATATTGTAAAACACCAAATATATGTAATCCTAAGATTAATCAGACTCGGATCACGCACTTTGGATTTAAAAAAAACTCATTATATACAAATCAAATATTCCACTAATACAATGTCAATAATCATCACTTACCACTAAAGGATTGTTTGAATGATTTTTAAGATAGGGATTGAATTGGGTTTTATTCACAAGATTGAATAGTTTATCATACTCAATTTGATGTTTGATAAGTGACACAAATACACATGAAATTCACGGATTAATTATAAATATCACAAAATATTTGCTATTGAATTGCCTAAACTCAAACCCACTTATCCCATGGGTTTGTTGAAACCCTTTTGCGTGGGTTTTACTTGCGAGTCTATCGGGACTAAAATCTCTAACCAAACAAGGAATGAAGTGATGCATTGGATTATTTTGACAAAACCCACCCCAAGAATTTCACCTAAATCCATAAACCAAACATGTCCTAGTAGTTTTAACATGCACATGCTTCCATCAATATGTGAATATAATTGCAGTGAAAGGGAAAAAAAAAACATACCCTAAAACAATTCCACCTCCAGGGTGAACCATCCTCCTTGGATATCTTAGGCGGAGCCACACCCCAGTAGCTCACAATGGCCTTCTCACTACCACCCTCCTCGCTGCCAGCCGCCGAGCTTGCCAGTTGCCCTGGTTTCTCGTCTTTCACCGCCCCTGAAGCCATAGTACTCCAGTTTCGGACCTCTAGCATCGGAAATCTAACCCATCCAATGCTAGTAGGCCTTGAGACATGTGAGACTTCACTACTCATGGCATTACCAAATGGTGTTGTAGAGAAGACACGTTGACGACCATGGTGGCTTAGAAGCAGCCTGCTGGTCATCCTTGTTGCAGCACTACGACTCATTGTTTTGAAGACCAAGAGAAATAGAGATAGAGATAGATAAATAGAGAGAGAGAAAATGAAGTCAGGAAAATGGGAACAATGATTGATTTTTCCAAACTTTATTGTTGGAGATGACTATAGGGGTTTTTTTGAGAGTGGTTTATACTTTATAATGTTTATATAGAGGGGGGGAACTTGGAAGTAATGAGGCTAATTAAACTCACATGTGCAAAGGAAAGAGAATGGGAAGGTCACCAGGACTTGGGCAACTTTTCACACGTAGCTTTTTGGGTCAAAAGAGCAAGTCTATTTGTTTGACACGCCATGTTGTGGATTATTATATTTGGTTTCCGTAGTTGATGTATAAAATTCGTCATAATGAAGGCAGAGATCTTATTCAATTTTTTTTTCTTCTTTATTACAAAGTGTGCAGGCTTACACTATAATCATATGCAAATTAATTAAATGAGTTTAATACTCTAATCTCAATAAGACTAAACCCATAAATAATAACTTCGAACCATTTCAAGTCGGGTTTATTGGTCTTATTAAAAATCGCAAAATCAGCGACTTAATGGTATTAATGATTTTCTCAAATTTGTGGGCAGGGATCTAGCTCTGTTATTAGGGATATTCACCCTATATTATGGGTAGGAACTATGATATTTTATCTTTCTACTCGATATTTTACAGAAAAATTTTTTTTTGGCTTACCTTACTCAATCAACTGTACTATTCTTATCCGAATTTAGTCCAAAATTAATCGGGTAGGACGTCAGATTAACAAATATTTTTTAGTTATTAATTTTTAATTATTTTAACAATTTAATTAAATAACCTACATCAATTAATTAACATAATTAATCAATAACATTAAAGAAAACACAATAAATTCAATAATACATAAATAATTATTATAAAATTTTTATATTCTTACCCTACCCTACCCACATTTCTATTCGATTTTTTGCAGAATACCAAAAAATCTTTCATTGGTCAACACGATTCTTTTGGGTAGCTGATCAATAAAGTCGGATATAGTAAGATATGGTCAAAATTTATAGGTAATCAAAAATTTAAACACTCTTATATGCCTAATTCTAATTAACTTAAAAAAATTAATACCCACTAAAAAAACCCTTAACTAAAAATCTAAAAAAAAAAAAAAGAAATAAAAAAGGAGCTAACAGTGCCATGATGATCCAAAAAATGTTTTAAAAAAAATTAGAAAAAGGAAAATTTGCTTAGATATTCAAAATGTGGAAAATATATTATTATATTGCGTTGCCATGGCTGACTATTCTGTTAGGAATTGACATTCGGCCAAAGGACACTTTGGGCTGCACGTATTTGGGGACAGAAACAGCCTGGTCAATGTTATTTTCTAGAATTTTGGAGGAATATAACGAGAGCCAGCGTTTGATTGATTATACCAATCCACTCGATTTCGTAACAAGGATTACAATCACATATCTTTTAAACACGTGGTTACAAATTAATGACACACTTTTAAGGAAAGATAAGATTTTGACATATGTGTTCACCATTGAAACACATCATTAAATATAAGATTTTGACATATGTGTTTAGCATCGAGGCACATCATTATTCCGGATAAAGTCACATTTTTTCGATGTCAAGGCACGTCCTCTCCTCTGACGAACACGTGTTCTCGGCATCAAGGTAAGTCCTGTTCTCTAGGTATGACACGCCTCCTCGGCGCCGAGGCACCTCCCATTCTCCGCGCAGCCACATGTCCTCAATTCCAAGGGTACCTCCACTCAGGATAGCCACGTGTCCTCAGCACTGGAGGCACTTTCTGCATTCAGGCCTTTCAACGTGTCTTTAGCTTTTAGAAAGACTACTGAATGATAGCTGACAAATCTCAGAACTAAACTAGAGATTATGAGGGTGCCCCCTCAACAAAGTCAAAATGACAGAATGAACAAGACGCTCAGCAAAGGGGAGCTAGACACGAGGCATGAAGTACAGGCTGAGGGGTGAATAGACAGAAATACTCATGCTGACATGGGGCTATCCTAGACAAATATTTAATGAACCCTCAGTTGCTGGAACATCTGCAATGGCTCTGGGAGCCTAGAAAAAAGAGCATTAAATGCTCTAGGACCTGAGCATTTAATGTCTCTACGTTAAAGAAAGAGCATTAAATGCTCGGAGGAGCGAACATTTAATAATGGGGATTCCTCCATGCAAAATAGGAGGCGCACTGCCCCATGTCTAGGTGCTACCTACTGCCTAGACCATAAGTAATAATAAGTCTTTTGAGGTATAAATAGTTCTCAAAAACACAATACAAAGGTACACAAACTCGCTCCTCAAGAATATAAAACAGTGTTTTCTTCTTCCCATCTCTCAAAGAACTGACTTAATTGTCGGAGGGGATACGTCTTCTAACTCATTTTTTGTGTGTCAGGAACATCTTACAACCCGCTGAAATTGATAAAACAGCCCTTGGAGCAATTCATCACCACTCCTTAGGTCCTCTTTGGCCATTTTGGATTTTTCCTTTGTCTTGGGATCGTCGACTTTTGAGACAAACGCGAGTTCACCAAGGGAGATATCTGTCTTTTCATCTATTGTGTGACACACAACTGGCGCCGTCTGTGGAAATGACCAAATTTTTTGAACAGTGATCATGGTGAATACTCACCTAAAGAGAAAGAGTCCTCAACAAATGAATGTCGATTTACCAGCTCCCTCCATATCAAGAATGAAGGATCACGTCAAAAGTGTCAATAAAGAACTTTCTGTTCACTCAAGGGAGCAAACCCACCAAACCAGTATGAATATCAAGTCTGAAAGATCTGCCCCATTAGCCCGTCAATTGGCGGAGGTGATTGAAGAAAAATTTAGAGATCGGTTACGACAGCTAGAAAAGGACAACGTGAACGTCCTAAACCCACAGAATAAATTCGCGTCCTCCGGTGGGGGATTTTGGGACCTACCACGATCTCGAGAACCCTTCGTCAAGGAGGTAGGGCCTAAGGATTTGAGAAACTGCCTAAGTAGCAGAGCAGGAAGTTTCAAGGCTCCAAAAATGTTCGAGGGCCGATGGGCTGCTCCTAGAGGTTCTAACCAAGAGGGCTAGGCCATTGACTTGGAACGAACTCCATCGGGGACTTCGGGCGAGGGGGCATAGAGGAATCCGAGGAGGGGTCAACCCTCTCTGTCTGACACCCTAGGACAAGGGACCATGTCAGCCGACGTCGAGGAGATGGAGAAATGTGCCCCAAGCAGAGAGAGGACCTCAAGGAATACTTAGATTCCATAAGAAAGAATAAAACCATACAGGAGAACGATAGGAAAAATGATGATCCCTAAAAAATAAAATAGAGCCCTGTCTCGGCCCAGTCCATCATGTCTTTACTTGGTCCTCCTCTCCTCATTAATTTTTGGGTCTCAGTCACGGACTTGGCCCCAGCCAGAGGACCTTAGCAGCACAGAAGGAAGGGGAGGAGCATTGATGTTGATCCTTGAAAGGGATAAGGGGACATTGCTAGAGCATCCCCTGCCCTTCAAGGCAGCCTTATGGTTCAGATAGCTGAGATTGAGGCGAGGCTAGCGGGACATTGCTACTTCTAGGGCGTCCTCCTCGTCTAAGCTTTGAAAAATGTTGAAGTCAGGCCAAGCCTCACTCCCTGATGTACTGGGCCCGGCACGAATAGTGGTGGAGGGCTCCTGAACTTCTGCTGCTTCGTCTTCCCCTCCCTTGGCGACCCCCTCTAGCTCGGCTTCTATAGCCTTATCGGGGTCATCCTCCAAGTTTTATTCAAGGAACTCGAACCACCTTGAGAGATCGTAAGGTTGGGGTATTTGAGAAAACTTCTTGTACCTCGGGGTGTAGTCAAGAAAGATGTGGGCTGATCTGTCAAACTCATCGTCGATGTATCCCCAAACCATGATAAGGTCGTCAAAGTTAACCTATTGCCAAGGTGGAAGAGCAGGTTCGTGGCTGGAAACGTCTACACAAAAGAGTGAGTGTTAGTACTTATATGTTCTAGAAGCTAAGAAAGTCGAGAAAAGAGGGAGAAGCCGACGTACTTGTTGTTCGCCATTCTTTGGGGCAAGACAAGCCATCATACTCGGGGCCAACCCCTCTCTCTCAAGCACTGCTAAAGACCACCAGGTCGTCCTTGTACCCCTTGTCAGAATCAAGAAGGTGGGTGACGAGGTACATGGAGGTGTCCTGAGCCTTAAGATAGAAGTTTTGCTGGCGGCATCACCCTCAGCAAAAAATAGTGGAAGAAGATGTCCTCAAGGCCTACATTGACCCCGAAGCGCCTGTTAAGCTCCACTACCCCCATGACTATTCTGAAAACATTGAGGCAGCACTGTCCCGGGAAGAGATGGAAGCGGGACAGGAATTAGAGGAGAAGTGGGTGGAGGAAAAATCTGATCTCGTCCTCCATAATTGCCTTGGAATAAAAGGGCATGGCATCTTTGGCGTTGAAGTTGGTACGATGACATTGAAGGTCAAAATCATGTATGCCGACGCTATGAGGGATGTCGTAAAGGGCCCTGAAGTTGGTAATTTACTAAGCACCCTTGACCGTGTACTTCCTCGGCCTAGAGGTCCCAGCCTCTTGGGTCTCGACAATAGGACAATGATTCCTCGGCATCTTATACAAAAGGAAGGGAAGGGTTTCAAAGAGGTGTTCTCTAAAATGGAAATCCTAAGGGGCACCACCAGACCCAAAACAATGAAAGGGGAAGGCAAGGGGACTATCATGGGGGTTTCAGAATTGAGATAATGGAACCCGGAAGGCAACCGGTAGACAGAAAGATGAAAAAGGGAGAAAAGAAGGATGAAAAGAGAATGAAACTCATCGGAAAGAGACTGGAAAGGTAAATTGGAGGCTTGAGATGGCTTTTTCTCCTTCGACGGTGACTAAAAAAATGGTGATTCTTCAAGCAGCGACACTTCGACGAGTTCTTTGGCGAGGGTCTCTGATAGCTAAAGATTCAAAAGTGACAAAGGGAAGATAGGTCTCTGTTTATATAGACCCTGTCCCCATCATTGTGCACGAAACACAAGGACAGACGCATTCAATGAGCACGATCCCCAAAGACAAGAAAACGACTGAAGCAATGATGAGGTTGGTGAGCTCTTCCATCTTTCAACGACACGTGTCCATTCTGTACGAAGATCAAAGGGCTGAGGGCAGTTGATGAGACACTTCTGAGGGAAGGATAAGATTT